AAGTGTTTGAATAACATTTACTTAAGTATGACCTGATGTTTTCTTCATCAAAATTGTTTATGCAATTGTCATAGGTATCCCTATGCTCTTCTTATTAATGTATTTTTTTTTCAGAGTTTCTTCCCCTTGAGGCAACTTCATATGGAACATCTTTGAAGGCTTCTCTAGAAACTTTATGGCTTCTATGCAGGAGACATAAATTTAAACTTTTTCTTGCCTTTTCTTCAAAGTAACTAAAGACAGAAACTCTGAGAAATATTAGCCGGAGGGCGTTCTGTTTCTCCCTTGCTATTTCTCTATCTTCTTTTCCTATTAGGCTAATAAACAAATTCTGAAACTTTTGTTTCTGGGTCCCAAGACCCTGCCTTTGTGATAGGGAGCTCTAGGGAAAGACTTAACAGAGGAACTTGAAGTCACCCTCAGGATGTTTGTTCATTCTTTTCTTATTTTCTCCTTAGATTGGCTTTAGGACTCTGTAGCCTGAGCTTCCACAATATAGTTAGAGGCAGCAGAGGTACTATATGTATGATTTGTACTCGTACCTATTTCCCAATTCCATCTGTTTTTAATATATTCTCTTGATAAAAATTTATCCCTTCTTTCCAGTCAGGCTTTTGCCTGATTTGATAGAGAGTCCCTCTGGCTCGTGTTGAAATTGAAATGTATGATATCTTATTGTTTGCCTATATACCCAGATGTCCAGGCGCTGAGTTTACTTTTATAAATGAAATATTGAAAATAAACATGAAGCTCCGGGGATGCAGTTGCAAGGGACAGGATCAACATTACTATATTAGAAATGGTCAACATCAGACTAGAAGCTTCTACACCTCAGGTGGCAGATCTCTGAACATCTCTTTTCATGGGCTCCTGGCAAGTCATCAGTATACAAGGGAGCACAGCAGTGTCACATACAAGAAACACAGACTTTGAGTTTTAATTCAGATTCTGCCACTTGACTTTGGTAAGTGGTTTAACGTGTCTGAACCCAACATTCTCACTTGAATCAGGGGTGCTGCAGTTTAGGGGAGAATGGTAATCCATGAACAAGCTGTTTTGATACTCTGTGATCTACAGATGCTATGAGAGGTGCCTGGGAACAGGTACAAGAGACAAGTAACCAAGACCTGAGTGACCAGGAGGGTGTGCAAAATGAACATGGTCGGTGACATCTTTGAAGAAATATTACCTAAAGGTAGCTCTAAGCACTAAGGCATTGAGGTTTCTATTTAGTCTACAAGTGAACTAACAGGTTTTTGCTACCTGTGGGTATCAACTTGGGATTTCAGTTAGCTAAGCAACTTTGGACCTAGAATAAAGCACTTAAAGAATGCTTTATGGAATACTTGTGGAATGAAGGAACAGCAATGCACATATCAAGAGCTAAGCATTGTGCTTGGTGCATTGCAGTAGTTCAATGGGTTGCATTTCTCTTTACCTTTTCTTCTGCTATGGCCCTTGAACTCCTGCAAACCAAGCCCACACAATACATTTCATTCACTGAGATAAGAATATTTTCTGAGCACTTGATATATGCCATGATTAGTGCTAGTGATGAGGGATATGTCCATGAACAAGCACATGAGCTGTCCTTTGGAAGTTTACAGTTTGGCAGAGCCAAAACGCCAAACCCAGGGATTATCACAGTTCCCCCTAGAAAGTGAAAATAAGATTAATCTATTGGTTTCCTTAAAAAGTACCCAAAGAGACTGATAATTTGAAATGCAATCCAGGAACCACCAGTGACAGATCACTTGACTTCATGCACTGAAAACATAGATTTAGTCTCTGCTTTTAAATTATTTCTTCTAATTAAAAAATTCTTATTAAAAAAATACTGAAAGGCTTAGAAATGGCAGTGTCCTAGAATTCATAGCTTTCTTGGCAAACATGGGTAAAATTCATCCATTTCCTGGAATATTACTCATTCTAGGGGAAGAGAAAATTAAAAACAAAATCAGGGTAGAGGTAATATTTTATTATAGAGCCTGTCTTTCATTTTTGTACCATAAAGAGAAAGACTGTGCTTTTTTTTTCCTTTTGGAAGAATACCTATTCTCATTTCCTAAGCATATTAATTTGGTGCCATTCACTGCAGAAGCTAATTTTTATTTTTTGGAATTAATTGAGCTGAAAGCTGGATTCATGACAGCCCATCCCCTCAGTGGCCAGCACAGAAGCTGAGGACAGACGGCCATTTCAACTTTACTAGCCTGACATCCTGCATAATCAATGCACGTCAGCCACAAAAACTGGCTGCCTATGTTCATGCCCATTTGCAAGTTGGCTGAGTGCCCATTCACAAATTGGGATGCCAGTTCCACTAGGGCAGAAGTGTCAACAAAAGATCACTTCAAACAGGAAACCTGCTCAGTTTTGCAAGAGCCATCATTTTGTTTAGGAAAAAAAAAAAAAAAAAAACAGGTTTAAGGTGGTTCCTCCCATATCGCTGACAAATGGCTATTTACATCCCATCATACCTTCAGCCTCAGGGGACATTTTATTTAATAACTTAATGCAATCTTCTCAATCCTTTAAATTTGACTTTCAATCTCTCCATTTCAAATGAGGCAAAAAGGAGATGGTATGTCAGTCCTGAGAGTCTCTGGAAATGCCCATATCCTTTATTCCCGTCACGTGCATTAGAAATGGGAAAAGTAAGCAAGCAGCATCATGTGCACAATGTCTCCAGACACCAATTAGAATGGTGAATAGTGCACCTAACCAAATGCAAATACATTTTTTTTAATATTCAATTAATTCAGCAAATATTGGTTAAGTGCCAGGCACCCAGTAGGGACTGATCTCCCTGCCTGGATTCTTCTCTCTTCAATTGAGCCTACACACCTGCTGTCAAATTAGTCCATCTTACTAAAGCTTGGTTTCCATTCTATTAATCTCACACTCAAGAGTCTCTTAAGGTTTGCCACTGGCCACCGAATAATTCCAAATGTTTTACATGGAAGAAAAGAACCCCTGGTGTTCTAGCTGAGACCAATGTTTTTATTATCATACATTCTTACAGGTTTTCATAGAAGCTAAACTTAAGGGTTCAGAAATGTTCTCCATCTATGTCTTAACCTCATTCCATCTGTGTCTTCCTTCTCTCTAAATCCTTTCATCTCTCTAAACATTGAAATTCTCATCATTTTGGTAAAGACCAAATGTCTTCTTACATTCAGTTTTTCAAGTTCCACTATGAAAAGTATCAAGGAAAGGCATTTAAAACAACGATCTCAACTGATCTGCAATTCGAATGTGAAAATAAGATAATGTTAACAATAATTGTCATGTGTGATACCAAATGTTGAGAGAAACCAAAGACACTTGAGGTATTTAGCTGGCCACACTCAAGGTGTTCAGTCTGAGCTGAGGCTCCTGGGTTCAGACAACTCCAGGGCCAGGCTCCTGCATCCTTAAGGAACCCTCCCTGTCCCCATTCCCTTCATGCCAGCCTTCTCCTGAACATTTGTAACACTTAATGCATGCCATTCTTGAGATTTAATTGCCTTTTAACTTGTATTATTCAACAATTCATTAAAGATTTAGGGACTAACTCCATCATTTTAATAGAAACTGAGGATAGTCATAATAGAGAGGAAAAGAAGAAAGGAAGACATATGAAACTGCAAACATTTTCTGATCCTGATGCTGGTGTCAGAACTGTACTGAGTACTTCATAGACCTCCACCTTGGATCATTACAACACACCTCCAAAGCTGTAATATAGGCATTGTTCTCTCTAAAATAGAGACCAAGACTGGAAAAGGTTAATGACTTCCGAAGAAGTCATTCCTAAGTCAGTAAGTCATTAGGTAAGGATCAAACCTACTCATTCTTTCTCCATTCAAAATAGTAATAATAATAATAACAACAACACTTAACTGCTTGCCATGTATGTACTGGGACTGCTCAAAGTTCAGTACATGGAAGTAAATGAAGTAAATAGAAATCTCAGTCCATGAAGAACATGGTTCTAGCAAGGAGAATCAGGCTGGCAAGCTGAATATACCGTGTGTTACAAGATGAGATGGGAGATAAGAATGAAGCAAAGTTAAGTCAAAACTTCCACATTTTGAGTTTTTTTGGGGTTTGAGTATGCAATTCTACATATATATCATAGTCAGCACGAGAAGAAGGTGAAGCTTGAGAAAAGTTACAGGAAACTGAGTGAATGAAAGAGAAAGGCACTCTAGGCAGAGGAAGAGTCCCTACAAAGCCCCAAGGTGGGAGCAATCTTACTCAAATGTAAGACAGAGAAAAAGGACCCAAGCTGAAATTTGTTTCTGTGATTTGCTTCCCAAGCCTCAATCCCCCCAAAATAAAAAATAAAAATCAATTCAACAAACAAAATAACACAGCTTAATAAAATAACAGTAGTATCTGGAGCTCTGTCAAGTACTCTTCTGCTTGATTTACATGTATGTACATTTAATGCTTTGAAGAAACAGTAAGGTTGGTACTTTTATTATTGCCACCTGGGATAAGAAAATGTGGTGATGGGTGTTTTACTCATAGTCACACAGGTCTTAAGAGCTGAAGGTATGCATGAACCAAAGTAGGCTGGCTTCAGAGAACCTGTTTTGAACTACAAATGGAGTTCATTAGTATTCTATTTTATGAATATAATATAATGCTTTTGACTAATCTCTTGCTGATGGATGGACATATTAGTGTTTACAGCTTTGTTATTATTAAAAATTATGCCATTGTGATTTTTTTTTATATATTTCTATGCCATATATGTCAGAGCTTCGTTAGGTTATATGCCTTCAAACAGAATTGCTGAGCCATAGATCATATGATAAAGATGCTATATACAGTCCTTTCTAGTACCAGACTAAGAAAGATGCTCACTACTTACTCTTTCTCAGTGGGGCTCAGTATGATTTGGATTTTATCATTACATAAGATAGCTTGTGAATTCTTTATTTAATATTTTCCTAAAATTATTTATTATTATTTTATTTAGTTTTTTAATGAGTTACACAATTCTTTAATTCTACTTTGAAAAGACTTTATTGATCACCATTATTTTAAAATCTATAATGTATAATTAAAACAGGATTGACATGTTTCAAATATCTGAACAAAGTTGGATATGGTGGTTCATGCCTGTAGTTCCAGACACTCAGGGGGCTGAGGCAGAAGGCTCATTTGAGAACAGATGTTCAAGGCTGTCCTAGGCAACATGGTAGATCCTGTAGGAAAAAAAAAACAGCTTAATGAAATAAATAAAAATGGCTCATATGCTGTTAATATTGTTACAGTTCATCCATACAATTAGATCAATTGAGCTACTAGAATACTAAAAAATTTTTTTTAAATCATTTAAGAAAATAAAGAATAATTCTGATAGGATGAAATAAATTGAGAATATTAAGTTTTATAATCACAGTTTGTAATGTATATATATATCATTTACAAATAATTACAACAAATATTATATATGTATAATATTTTATATTATGCATATTATTTATTATATATCACAGTACACATTTATATTATATTTGAGATAGAGTCAACCCTTGGTATTTGTGGGGAATTGGTTCTAGGACCTCTGTGGATTCCAAAATCCATAGATGTTCAACTCCTTTATTTTAAAATGGCATAATGTTTACATATAACTTCTGTACATCCTAGATTTCTTATAATATTTATACAGTGTAAATTGTTACTGCATTGTTTAGGAAATAACAACAATAAAAACTAGTCTGTAGATATCTACATGTTCAATACACATTTATTTATTTATTTATTTATACATCTTGCAAAGTGCTTTGACTAACAGAATTCAGTAAAATTTGCATTGTGTCAGTTTCAAGCCTAGACCTCAAGAAACTGGAGTGTTTTTCATTCCTGTAGGAATACTGCCTCTGCCATAAGAAGAATAAACCTGGGTTAGCCTGCTGGGAGAATGAGAGGCCATTTGGAATAGAAAGCAGTGATCTAAGCAGAGGAAATCTCAGGACACTTTCACTACAGGAAGCTCCCAGCCAACCCCAACTGCCCCATGGGAATGGCAGATGCAAATATTACCAGTAGCCCACCTGAGATCAGCTAAACTCAGCTCAGACCAGAAGTATTTCCCAGATGACCTGTAGATCCATGTGTATTAATAAGGATTTTATTTTTCCATGAGTTTGGATTTTGAGATTTTAGCAAAAGCTGATTAATACAGCAATTTCTTTGAACATAGAAATTAGAGCAATTTTAGTGTTATCTCCCTTTTTTGTTATATTTTTATCAAGGATCATTTATGAGACTTTTGAGAAAAGTTTAACAAAAGTCTGCAAAGAGATTTCCAGTTTTTGCAAATATTGATTATGCAGTTATGACGTGCAAGCATTGTGCTAAATGCAGAGGTAAATAGTGGGAAGAAAAAAAAACTCCCTGAAAATGAGTGTAAGCTGAAAAGTACAGGTTAAAAAAAAAACTTAAAACATAAGAAACTCAGCCCAGTCTAGGAGACCAGACTTTAATAATGTGTACAGTGGTAACAGCAGTGGGAATATTCAGATAATGGTGGTAATTTAAATACTGATGGAGAAGCTAAAGTAAAAAAAGGAGAGAGCAGGTAGGGATATAGAAACCTGAGTAGAGAGTAGGAAGCTTGGAGAAATTGGTTTCAGTTGACCTAGATTGCAATGAAAAAAAAAAAAAAAAAAAAAGGACAGCTATAGCTTCTGTGAGCAGCTCGAAAACAACATATTAGTAACTGTCTACAGGAGAACACAGAATGTGAACGGCTGGCCTTTGACTAGGGCTCCAGATCAAGGCATTGACAGATATTGTTGTTTTCTCACTAAGACTAGTAACTTCTGGGGTGGTGGAGGTTAGTGGGTATGCAAACTCAGACCATCACTTACAAAGGCCAGGAATGCACTTGAGTCCTGAGTGCAAACATTCCCTGGCACCACCTTTTCTACAATAGAGAATCATTTTTCCAGGTGTCCACCAGTCCTCTATTGATCTCTCTTCTACCTCCATCCTTCTTGTGCTTAGCTTCACCCTGCTGCACTCTGCACCATGTACCAACACTCAGTTTCTGTTTTATACTTCTAGCCCTTGAATCCAAGCTAGCATATCCTACTAGTACTGTATTCCCACATTTTCCCCTATAAATGGAGTTTGCAGCAGTGGGCAGGGAGCATTGAGGGCAACTTCGTTTTGCTGCTATTGTTTGTTATTGCATATTGGATATATGTAACTTGCTTCTGATCATTATGGGAGCTCACAGCCATGAATTTGCCTTGAGTCTCAGATGAGACTTTAGACTTCAACTTTTGAGCAGTGGTGGAACTGTTAAGACTATGGAGACTTGGAGGTGGCCAAAATGCATTTTGCACTGTGAGATGAACATGAGCTTTTGGGGCCAGGGTTGGAATGTCATGGTTTGGATATAGAATGTCTCCTGAAAGCTCAAGTGAAATGATTAGATTATGAGAGTTGTAACCTCATGAGTGATATAATACACACAGTGGATTAGTAATAATTAAATGGAATAACTAGGTAGTAACTGCAGGCACCTGGGGTGTGGCTGGAGGAAGTAGGTGTTGGGGGCATGAGTTGGGGGTATCTATTTTGTCCTGGCTTCTCTCCTCCCACTCCCCCTTCCCAAGCTGCCATGAATTGAGCAGCATTTCTCCACCATGAACTTTTGCCATGTGATGTTTTGCCTCATCCCAGGCTCAGAACAATGTATTCATCCAACCATGGATTGAACCTCTGAAACAGTGAGCCCAAAATAAACTTTCCTTCTTCTAAGATGTTCTTGTCAGGTATTTTGGTCTCAGCAATGAAATGCTGAATAAACCGCACTGTAAGCATATTTCTGAAGCAATTTTACCACGAGATCCCTACTACACTTGGAGAGAGGGTAATGAGGGGGAAAGGAAATAAACAGGAAAGAGAAACAAGTATTATTTCTCTTGTGGGGATGATTAAAGTGATCAACACAGGACAGCATCATGTCCTGCCATATCCTTCCTAGAAAAAGAAGAACTAGGATGTGCTCTTCTGGGGTTATGGATAAGTCATAAATATTTCTATTTGTTTCCCCTTTTGGAGCCCACAGACAACATTATGAAAATGGGCAAATCCTCTGGGTAATTGCTTATATTATTGCTCTCCCAAAACCATTCTAGTCCCAGAGTAGAGGGAATCCATATTCATGGGCTACATATAAAATAATACTTATACTACATTTTTTCTTCTGTTTGCATTTTATTATGTGCCATTTTCTCCTCTATATAGCAGTTTTGATAGTAATAGCGAAGTGTACCTACTCACAGTTATGTCAAGAACTACTCAGAGCCAAACATAGACAATGGGTGCTATGGCTTCAATGTTTGTGTGTCCACCCAAATTCATTTTGAAACTTAATTTCCAATGTAATAATATAAATATATGGGGCTTTTAAGAGGTGATAGGTGTGCATGGAATTATCATCTTATCAAAGGGCTAGAGCGATGGCCCTTTTTGA